AGGCAGGAGCGAGGGTGGCTGCAGCCCCTTTGTCTTCAAGCGTCCTCTGTTTTTCAGGGCAGCGATGCAGACAAAAGTGAGGACAACTTGGTGGTGGATGAGGTCAGTGCATCAGCTGGGAGGGGGCTGGGGTCAGTGTGTGCTGTCTGTCCCCAAGTTAGGGGCTAACAGGCTGCTAGAGGCAGAGGTGGGCATCACAGGGAGGTGCCAGTGTTACCCCTGAGTCATGCTCCCTGGCCCTCGCCAACGGCAGCAGTGAGTCCCAAGATTCAGGCTCCCAGCCTGGCCCTTGCTCAAGCCACCAGCTCACCATGACCTGGGACATCCCTGCACTCCTGCCTGTTCTGCTGCCTGCTGATTTCCCTCTCCCACCCCCAGGACCCCTCTTCGCCGCACAGCGTCCACTCCTACTCGTCCCGGGAAAACGGGGTGGAGAAGGTCCCACTGGGGAGGAAGGAGACCATGCCACTCAGCCCAACCTCCATGGCCTCCTCCAGCAGCTCCCCATCTCGGAGCAAGGATGCACCCACAGTACGTGCACTGCCTGAGGCAGCTGGGGCACTTCACTCAGGGCCTATGCTTGTGTCCCTGCTGCCCAGGTTCAGCTGACAGAGTGGCCAGACATGGGTCTACCTGTCTCCAAACCCATGGAGCAAAGGCAGTGCTGGAGGGACAGGACGGGACTTCTGCTCTGTTAGATCCCAGCTCACGTCCTGTCCCACAGAGCCTGCAGTGCTGGCTGGGCTGGGCTGTCATTGAGGGGGAGGAACAGGGACGAACTTGCTGGAGAGCACCGGAGGAGACCCCCTGGCAGGGTAGTGGTGCAGCTGTCAGATCCCTGTGCTGTTCCCGGCAGGTGGAGAAGGCAGGGACGCCCAGCCTGAAGTCCAGCACCCCCACTTCCCAGGGTGACACCACGGCCCCAGGCTCCGGTGGGGTCCAGCAGTTTCGCCCTGCTGCTGCCAAGGCCCCCATAGACCCCCTGGGTGAGCTTGGCCCCACTGGGGCCCGGGCGGGTGTCTCCAAGCACTGGCTCCCAAGCCCTGTCCCTTCACACTGCCTCTCCCCCATCAGCCCTGAGCCTGAGGAATCCACTGGGAGTGCAGAGTCCCTACTCGGCTGCCTTTGGCTTGGCCCACCCTGCAGTCAATGGGGACGTGGCCGGGACTGGCGCCTATGCCAGCCTCCACCTCATGTCCCCGCAGCTCAACGGGGCTGCAGCCGCCATGGGAGCCAGCAGCTACGGACGCTCCCCCCTGGTGCGTGACCTGCTCCCCGCGGGGCCGTGGGGGCCACAGAGTGTGAGCTACTCTCACCTGCTGTCCCCTCCAGGTGGGCTACGACCCACACCCCCACATGCGCATCCCTGGGCTGGTGGCCGGCATACAAGTGGGGACCTCGGGGAAGCCGTAAGTAGGGCCGGGCTGGGCTGTGGGCTGTGCTGGGGCAGGGGATGAGGTAACCTGTGGGGCTGAACCTGGGTGATGCAGACAAGCCAGGACCAGCAGGGGTGGGGAGCACAACTGGCATCACTGGGCATGCTCTGCTCATGGCTCCAACTCCCAAAACGTGCTCCCTTTGTCAGACCCCCTGGGACCCACGTGGCACTGGCCACTGACCTTGCAGGATTCTCCTCTGGCTCTCACTGCTCTGCTCCGTTCCAGTGCCTACTCCTTCCACGTCAGTGCCGACGGGCAGATGCAGCCGGTGCCTTTTCCACCTGACGCACTCATCGGCTCCGGCATCCCCCGCCACGCACGGCAGCTCCACACCCTGACCCACGGCGAGGTGGTCTGCGCCGTCACCATCAGCAACTCCACACGACACGTCTACACGGGGGGCAAGGGCTGCGTGAAGGTGTGGGACGTGGGGCAGCCGGGCACCAAGACAGCCGTGGCTCAGCTGGACTGCCTAGTAAGGAGGAGGAGGAGAAAGGTCTTTGGCAGGGGGCTGGGAAGGGGAATATGCCCCTGTTGCAGTGGGAGGGACAGAGGGTCCTTTCACATCTGGGATGAGAAAAGGAGATCTGTCTCCTACACCCCCCAAGCACTCATCAGCTCCTTCTTCACTTGCCCTGTTCTCTGTAACCCCAATTCAGAACCGTGACAACTACATCCGCTCCTGCAAACTGCTCCCGGACGGCCGGAGCCTGATTGTGGGGGGGGAGGCCAGCACCCTCTCCATCTGGGACTTGGCGGCCCCCACACCCCGCATCAAGGCTGAGCTTACCTCCTCTGCCCCTGCCTGCTACGCTCTGGCCATCAGCCCTGATGCCAAAGTCTGCTTCTCTTGCTGCAGCGATGGCAACATTGTGGTGTGGGACCTGCAGAACCAGACCCTGGTCAGGTGAGTCAGTCAGGGGGGAGCATGGGCAGAGCTGCTGGGGGCTCCTCAGGCCAGGGACCACCTGGTCCCCTGCAGCATGTCCCCACCTCTCCCTGTGTCTAACCCTGGCAATGGGACAGTGCCTGTCCTTGCAGCAGGGATCTTCTGCTCTCACTGCTGAGTGCTGCCCTGGCCACATTCTGTGCTGCAGGTGCTGGCCAGCCTGACAGCCATGCTCGTGCTTTCTCCATCCCCCTCTTTCCCAGGCAGTTTCAAGGCCACACGGATGGTGCCAGCTGCATCGACATCTCCAATGATGGCACCAAGCTGTGGACAGGGGGGCTGGACAACACTGTGCGCTGCTGGGACCTGCGGGAGGGGCGGCAGCTGCAGCAGCACGACTTCAGCTCCCAGGTGGGGCTGGGGTCATCTGGGAGCACCACAGGGCCAGGTGCGACCTGCTGTGTCAATGTCTGTCCCTGTCTCTCCCCTCAGATCTTCTCCCTGGGGTACTGCCCAACAGGAGAGTGGCTGGCGGTGGGGATGGAGAGCAGCAACGTGGAGATCCTGCACGTCACCAAACCTGACAAGTACCAGTTACACCTCCACGAGAGCTGTGTTCTCTCCCTCAAATTCGCCTCCTGTGGTAGGCATGCCTCTCCTGGCCTTCCTTCTCTGGAGCCTCATGGATGCCACCTCTACTTCTGGCCTTGTGTCACAGGGCTCATTGCACTGGGGGCAAGGATTGGTTCCAGTACTCAGTCTTGTCCCCAGTGGATGACAGTCATATCCGTCAGAGAATGGGCATCTGTCCTTCCTGGAGCAGCGCTGGCAGCTGTATGCTCAGCTCTGTTATCTCAGGACTCCCATTTGTGTTCCTGAAAACAGCCCCTTGGCTCTTGGGTAGCAGAGACTTGGCTGCCATGTCCACACCCTGTGTTCCACAGCCTGGGCAGGATGTGCTGCTGGAATCCAGTTGCTGGGCCTGGTTTGGTGACACGAGGCTCCTTTGTCCCTCCACAGGGAAGTGGTTCGTGAGCACGGGGAAGGACAACCTGCTGAACGCCTGGCGGACGCCCTACGGAGCCAGCATCTTCCAGGTGTGGGGCGTGCATGGCCAATGGGGTTGGGGGTTCCTCTGGGTGTGACTCCCAAGAGCTGCCCAGTACAACCTGGCTGTAAATATGTGTTAGCAATAACGAGCCCCATAAACAAACTCGTCCCTGCAGCCTCCCTGGGTGCAACTCAGGGTCAGAGTCCCAAGGACTGGGAACTTGCTCTGGGCCTGCTTCTTGTGCTTACCCCTGTTCTCTCCAGTCGAAGGAAACCTCCTCTGTCCTCAGCTGTGACGTCTCCACGGATGACCAGTTCATTGTGACTGGCTCGGGGGACAAGAAAGCTACAGTTTATGAGATCATTTACTGAGCACAAGAGGTGCCAACTGCGGGACAGGTGGACGTCCATGTGGATGGATAGGTGGACTCCACCTGCCCTACTGCTGACTTCCCAAAGAACATGCAGCCTGTGGCCACAGCATCGCAGCTGGAGGAGAGCGGAGAGGGCTGAAGGTGGCCCTGGGACCGTGGCCAGGCGTCGTGGGCTGCTCGGGGTGGATTTCCTGGGGACTTTCTCCTTGCTTTGTTCTTTGTCAGCTTCTTTCTAAATCTAGACTATGGGACTTGGAGGAGGGGGGGGCCATCTGGCATTGTTAGGGCTTTTGTTGGGATGGTTTTTTAATTTTGTTTGGTTTTAACATTTTTTTTGGGGGGGGGGTATTTTGTTGGGGGTCTGGGTCTGGTGAGGCGGATGGGCTCTGGCCTCGTTTCCCTCTGTGCCTGCCAGGGTATATTTAATAATAAAAACAAACCAAAAAAAGGCAGCTGTGCCTTGTCCTGGGCAGTGCTGCATGGTGGTGGGATGGAGCTAGGTGAGGATGGGTGAGACCAGGGCAGCAGCCTCATCCCCTTTGGCAACCACAATTTGCTGCTCCTTTCCTGTGCCAGGGCAGGTCTGTGGCAGCTCTGCTGTTGGCAGAGCCCAGCCCTGGTCCTGAGTGGGGTGGGGAGACCCAAGTGCAGCTGGCGGTGCAGGCACAGACCTGAGTGTGTCGGTGGCTCTGGTTGTTGGAGCAGCCTCCGTGGGGTGTGGGGGAGATGCCAGTGGTGGAGGAAGTGGTTTCTGAAGGAAATGAGATGTGAGCAATCAGTGCTGCCTTATCAGTCTGGCCTCCTGCCAGCACTGCCGTGGGGAAGCAGGGCTGTTCCCGAGAGCCTTGGGCACTGGCAGTGGCCATGGCCAGGGCTGGCAGGGAAGCTCCGTGCCACCAGCTGCGATGTGGCAGCTGCTTTGGTCTCCTGCCCTGAGCCCAGCCTTGAGCCATAGCTCACCACACCCAGCACAGAGCCAAGGCTGCTGCTGCAGCTGTGCTGGAGCTGGGGCTGGTGGCAGGTGGGCAGCCACAGCTCTGCCACAGTGGGAATGGCCTTGCCCATGCTGCTGGCCAAAAGCAGGACCCGGAGGCTACATTTCACAGCCCAGCCCTCTCGGCAGGGTTGGGAGCATTGGCTGGCAAAGGCCCCTGCCCGTGCCCATACCAGCCCCTCCTTTGTTCCTTTTTATTAGTAAAGGATTGAAACCACAGTTAAATACATTTATTTACTGATAATTTACAGCTGTTTCTCCAGCAGAAAATGGTTCCCATTAAATCAGTAGCAGTAATTCAAGACATATTCAGGTGGTACTGGCCTTGATCAGCTCCCCATGCAGCCAGTCTGAGGTACAGACAGGTCCCAGGACACACAGCCCAGCCCTATGCCTTGGGGGATGCCAGGCCCCCTTGAGCCCTCACCTCCAACCATCATGCATTAACTGGGGCAGGGAGTTAGGCCAGGGCCTTGGTTTGGTGTCTGAAAGCAAAGGAGGAGGGAAATCAGGGCTGTGGAACGGCAGGTCCAGCACTGGAGGCCTCTGTGAGCCCTGGTGGCTTTGGACAAGGACAGGCCCCTTCCTTGGTGGAGGAGGGATGGTGATGGGGCTTCAACAGACCACCTTGTACACAGTGGCCTTTTTGTCACCAGATCCCATAACGATGAATTTGTCATTGACAGAGATGTCACAGCTCAGGACTGAGGCAGACTCCTTAGACTGAGAGTGAGAGAGACAGGAGGTAAGGGCAGGGCTGGTGGCTGGATCCACCGTCATCCCCCTGTACAAATGCCTGCCCTGCACCTGGAAGATGCTGGCTCCGTAGGGTGCCCGCCAGGCATTGACAAGGTTGTCCTTCCCTGTGGTCACAAACCACTTCCCTGGTGCAGGAGACAAAGTGGGTCAATGTCTGGGACTCCATTCAGGGGAGCTGAGTATGGTGGAGTAAACCAAAAGGAACCATCTGGGCTGTACACAGCCCAAGCAGAAAAAATGGACCTTGCCTACCACAGGAGGCAAATCTGAGGGAGAGGACACAGCTCTCGTGGAGGTGTAACTGGTACTTGTCAGGTTTGGTGACGTGCAGGATCTCCACGTTGCTGCTCTCCATCCCCACCGCCAGCCACTCTCCTGTTGGGCAGTACCCCAGGGAGAAGATCTGAGGGGAGAGACAGGGACAGACATTGACACAGCAGGTCGCACCTGGCCCTGTGGTGCTCCCAGATGACCCCAGCCCCACCTGGGAGCTGAAGTCGTGCTGCTGCAGCTGCCGCCCCTCCCGCAGGTCCCAGCAGCGCACAGTGTTGTCCAGCCCCCCTGTCCACAGCTTGGTGCCATCATTGGAGATGTCGATGCAGCTGGCACCATCCGTGTGGCCTTGAAACTGCCTGGGAAAGAGGGGGATGGAGAAAGCAAGAGCATGGCTGTCAGGAGTGCCCACTCCCCAGGAGCCAGCATCTCCCCCTTGACCCTGCCCTGTGCTCCCAGTCCCAGGCTCACCCAGGAGAGCCTTCCCCAGCACCACAGGTGGGTCAACCTCCAAACCCTGTGGAGGGGAAGGAGCCCGGGAGGCACAACTCCTGGATGGAACTGTACAGGAACTAGGCCATCCAGGGGCTGAAACCGTCTATTTTCCTCCTTTGTCCTTTACACGTCCCCATGGTGTGGAACAGCTCCATATTCCCGCTCCCCCAATGGGTGCAAGCTCTGGGTCACCCCAAACTACCACAACCCTGTGACCCTGCAGTGCCCACCACCTGCACAAGGATCCACAGGGCCAGGACAGATCTGCTGCTCCCTCATGCGAAAGTCCTCCTGCACGGAGGGCACCCCCATCCACAGCCTGGACCAGGAGGACGTCTGGAATGAATTGGCCTATCTGAGCCCCATGGCTATTTCATTCCTTGCTTTTTTCTTGCCTCTCCTACTTCTTCCGCTTTTTCTGTCTGGGGATTTTGTCGACACCAGCAAGGAAAAAAAAATTAATAACAGAGAAAAGCTACGTGCTGTGCTGGCAGATTGCTCAGGGCGCTTTGTCTGCTCTAATCCGATTGTGCCGGGGAGCTGCTGCTCACTGCTGCCCATAGCCCCCAGCTGGCTCCTGACCCAGGATGGGGGGATGCCATCGCTTGGTCCCTGCAGTGGCTGGGAGGCCAAGGAGTAGCAGAAACATCCCTCCCCCTTCCCACATTCTGATGTGTCAATCTGAGCACGGGACTGGTGCTTGGCAAGGAGGACGGGGAAAAAAAATTAAAAAAAAAAAAATCAATTGCTACGAGAAGCTCTGGGGAATCCTGAGGGCAGCCAGGGTGAGAATACTGCAGAGCCCACCCTCTGCACAGCAACACTTACACCCCTCTGGGGGCATGGACCTCTGCTCCCAGGGCTGGGGGCCCAGCCATGGGTTCAAACCCTCAGCACTGGCATCTCTGTGCCTACCTTGGGCTGCAGCAGACTGCTCACAAACATCCCTGGCCCCACTTTCCACCCCCAGCCTTGGCTGCCCACACGCCTCCCTACCGGACACTGGCCCTTTGGCCCGAGGGGTGTTGTGCTCCCACTGGAGGAGGTGCAGGCCGGGCTCGGCATCTCCCCACGAACTGGTGCCAGCCGGCTGCTGGGTGAGCAGCCAGGGCTGCCGGGCTCCGAGGTGGGGTCCTGGGGGCAGAAAACGTCTGTGGGAAGCAGGAAACCCAGTCCCTCTGTGCAGGAAGGCAGGCACGACAGAGACTCGGGGGAGCCAGCCGGGCCTGGAGCCTGCAGGGACCACCAAGCCCCAGTTTGCTCCCCCCACCCCTCGCTGTCCCATCTGCCTAAGCAGCCTGAATGAGTAGCATCCACTCATGGGGCCTCTGTTCTGCTCCACGGTCCCCTGGAAAAGAAACTGCCTTGATTTTTCTCTTTGAACAAAATTAGAGGTGACAGCAGGTTCAGAAGACACTGGTGGCCATGGATGCCTTTACAAGGAGGGATGGCGACCAGCACATGAGGAACTGACACACAGCTGCCATCTCAGAGGCAAGGCTGCCCATCAGCTCTTGCACTCCTATAACTATTTAACCAGGTCTGTGATTTTTATCACCATAATTCCACCAAGTAGTTTTTGTGTTGTTTTCTGCAGAAATTCCTGCTGATATTCCTTTTAGGGCTTGTATTTTCTTAGGAAGTGGCAGGAGGAAAAAATACCTCACCCATGTTGTCCCTTCCCCTTGTCTTCCAGAAAACAAGCAGGTATGTCCCTGAAAACATCATCATCTCTGCCAAGAATAGTTGTGGCTGGGATAAATTTCTGTCATGCCTGCCTCAGCAGCCAGGGAAGGTTGTACCAGAAGTACATGGCAGTTCCATTGCAAAGGACTGGAATTCAGTGTGCTCCCTGCACTGAGACACTGACACAGGCTTGGTGTGTTAAAGTCGAGGCTGCTGGAAGGCCAGGCAGGGCATGAGGTGCACTGCAAAGCCCAGGGCTGGCAGGGCCAGGGTGTGTTGTGAGGCTGCCTGCTCCTGCCACCTCAACTCACTGGAGCTGCCAGCAGCAAACCCAACTCCCTGGAGCTCTCATCCCAGCTTATCAGTCTCCCCATATGGGATGCTACAGGAGAGGGACTGAAAGGGAATTGTGAATCAGAGCCAAACTTGTGGCTGGCAAAGCTCAGCCCTGGCTGGCACAGCTTTCTACTCAGAGCAGTGGGAGTGGAATCAGTCTTGGCTGACATGAACACATCAGAGCAGGGCTGGCACATGTCCTGGCTGGATGCTGTTCCCCACAGCAATGACCTGGAGCCTAAGGAACTCCAAACCTTAGGAACCAGAGTCCTAAACTTGATGACTACAGCTTGAGCTGGATACCCTGCAAGGTTCCAAGTATAAGGGCCTACCTCATCCACCACGAGGTTGTAATCGCTCTTGTCCCCATCACTATCCTGCAAGGAGGGAGAAATCCAGAAGGGCTCAGTCAGGACTGGGAGAGATTGGACCAGGCTCTGCCCCAGGATCCCAGACAGCGTAAAGACTCATTTTCTCCTGCTCATCACTCCTCATGGACCAACACCATGCCCTGCTGGCAGCGACCCAGAGCTCTGGCTGAGTGGCCTCCCCAGGGCTCTTCATTTGCTTTGTTATTGCTCACAGGACACCACCTCCCTGCACCAGGGTAGGCACAAGGCTTCCCAGCCACTTCCCAGGACCAGCTCCCACAACCACACTCTTTAGTGCACTCACAGAATGCCCAGGCAGGTTCTTCTCCTCCCGTTTCCGCTTCAGGCCCATCCGCTCCTCATCCTGCAGGCGCTCAGGGGGGGAACAAGAAATGCTCTGACACAGAGGGGGGAGAGGAAGGCATGTCAGCCAGTGCGAGGGAAGACAGTCCTCACCTCTCACTCGGGCCAGGCCCTGCTCCATCACTGCCTCCACCCTGGCAAAGCATGTCCCTGGCTGGTGGGCAGGAGCCCAAAACCCCAAAGCCACGGCCTCCCCTTCCTGGCCAAAGCAGGGCAGAGACAGCAGAGCAGGGGGCCACAGCCCCCACTGGCAGATGACCCCACTGTGACAGCAATGGAGGAGGATGAGGATGTGCAGCTGCGCCCTGGCCCAGCCACCAGCACCAAGGGCTGCGGGGAGGGCACGACTGGAGGGCAGATCTGCCCCTGCAGAGACAAGAAGGCATGGGGAGCATAATGTCATGGTGGAGTGGAAAATCCCCACTGGAGCCGTGTTTACTTCACCTCAACCCTGCTGCATGGGAGCCAGGCACCTGGGTAGGTCTGGGATCCCCTCTGCACAACACAGACACCTTCTCTCCTTCTTCCTCTCCCACCTGACTGACAGCCTAAGATCAATGCCAACTGTTCCCCTATGAAGGAGCTCTTTAACCCTTTCTTCCTCTGCCTGTAACAGGAACTGGAACTCTGGATATTGCAGAGCTGTAAGCTACTGTGGAGCCTGGGAATGGAGTCACAGATCTGGGACTGGGGAGATCATAAAAGGGAGGGGGCAGCCGAGGACTGCAGAGGGGCTGGCAGCACCAGGCTTAGAAGGGAGACCTGTTCAGAGTGATTCTTAAACTGGAAACTCCTTGAAAAGGACAGAGCTGGTTATTTTGGGAGTAGCCCTTGATCTTTAGATTCTTGCATCAGCAAAGACTGAATTGAGGTGGCCCAGAACCTTCAGCTACAAAACACTGATACAAACACAACCCACTCAGGCCAGCAAAGTTTGCCCAGCACCCCCAGCCATTCCCAGGAGCCAGGGGCCAGCTCAGCTCCTGCCTGGCCCACACTGGAGATATCACTGAGGCCAGCTGAGGCTACTGGTCCATCACGACTTACCCGGCTTGGGGCGCGTTCTGGAGCCAAGCAGCAGCAGGGAGAATATCCGAGCAGATCCATGTCAGCAAGGCAGAGGGGAGGAGAGAAAGAGGGTGTTAATGCCAAGGCTGTGCCCCATATACTCGGGCAGGGAGGAGAGGGGGGCACTGCAGGGTAACACAGGAACCAGCAGGACATGGGCTTATGAATCATACCTGATTTCCCACTTTGCCCACCTGAAGTGTGGATTCTCTGTTGTCTAATGGGAGATGAGCACATTGGTTTTCCTCAGGGAAGCAGGGAAATCTCTATCCACCCACCTACTTTCAAGAATTACCCCAGCTTTGGAATCTCTTCCCTAGATGTGGCAACAGGTCCAAAGCTGCCAGGAGGGGACAAGCCGACCAGCCAGCTGAGACCTCCTGAATCACACCCATCCTATTTCCTTAGGAAGCCATGCCTAAAAACCTTGCTTGGAAAGCCTCCGAAGCTTTTGTACGTGCATAGCAAAACAGGTCCACCTCCCTGAGCCCAGGGAAAACGTGCCAGGCATTTGCTGCAAATCCAAGCACAGGGTTGCAGCTGTGGTCTAGCAACCCTCCCTGGTTGATTTTCACTCCTAGAAATCCACCAGCATTTGGAAAGAACAAACTCGTTCAGGTCTCTGCTGGCAAAAAGAGTCAGGCAGGGATGTGGAGCTGAGGGACTCTTGTAGGCATTGCTCCAAGGCCATGGTCCAGGAGGGGGACTGGATGCCTGCCATCAGCCCCACACCTCTGGCTCAGCTCAATTCACACAAGCTCTGGCTAACTGTGGCAGAGCACCAGGGATTAACCCCAGTCAGATGGAGCATTTCACCTTTTTTTGTTTTAAGGAATGGCTCTCACTAAGGCCAGACACCCAGGCTGAGAGAAGTTCTGGTTGGAGGCATGGGGCTATCCAGGCTTGGAGGGCTAAGCAGGCTCAGCACAGCACAGCCTGCTTTTATCCTCTCTCTGGAGTTTGTTTTTCTCCTTTGGGAAGCCATCCTTAAAGAAACACGAACAGAATTCTGACTGCAGACAGCTGTGTGCAGGGGCACACAGCAGCCACCGACAGTTTCCTGCTGCTGTTTTCACCACCTTGACATCTTAACAAGCCAAACCAGACCATTAGAAACTGCAGCAAACCCCACCCAGTGCCCAGCTTTGCTGCTGCTGTTGGGTCCTGTCCCAAGTGCATTTCAGTCAGCACCCTTCCCAGGGAAATCTGCAGAGAAGCATCACTACAGCTGCTAAATTTGGCTGCCTGTTTCTAGCCCATAGAGATGCCTGGAGCCTCTGTTCTTGCCCCAGTCTCCCTCTCAGTACAACTACCCAATTCCTGCACTCTGCAAAAGGTGATTTGAGCTCAGAGCAGCTTCTCCTTTGTGCAGCACTTCAGCAATAGGCCACAAGCAAAGCTGGGCAGCATTACTAATTTGGCCCAGTCCTGCAATAGCATTCAGAGCACTGATTTCATGATGATTAAATATTGATGCTGTTTGTAAGGCACGTTGTGATCCTGACAGGAGGAGGCACCCATAAGGACTAGGAATTAATGCAATTTACATGGCACCACACATGCAGTTAGGCTCTGGTTTCTAAATTCCTTGCCCCAGATTTGTGGCTCCCATAATTTCTACCAGGGGCTTACAACAGTAGTTTCCCTTGAAGTCTCAGCTTTGGGCATCAAATCTTTACTTGGTGTAAACCCTGGTGTAATTAGAGAAGGTTTCTTTGTGACGGGGACCTCACACCCTCCCAGCTGTCTCATGGAGGGGGGGACCCTCATACACTGGAAACACCCAAGGGAGCAGGGAGATGTGTCCAGAGCCCTGCTGCCCAGTGTCAGGGGTGCAAACACAGCCACCCTCACCACTGCCACACACCGTCACTGCATGGCAGCAGTTCCAAGGTAAAAAATGGAGCCAAACTCCTGGGTCTGCACGTATTTCATGAGCTGGATCTGCCATCCCTTGAGCTGCAGCAGCCAGGCACTGAGGAGCACTGAGAAAAGAGGCAGAGCAGGCAGCAGGATCCCTGCAGCAGACTGCCCAGCACTGACTCAGCCAGCCTTTGAAAGGTTAATCCAGCTATGCTTCTTCCCCTTACCTTTGTTCTCCCCATCCTGGGCCACTCTGTCTTCCTTGGTGGCCAGCTGAGACTGTGCCAACAGTGCCCCCGAGACGGTCAGGAGCCCCAAGGTGCCACTGGCCCCGCTCAAGCTAGAAGGTTGCATGCTGGAGGAGTGGGGTGTCAGCAGGAGCGGGGATGCATGGTGGGAGAGGTGCTGAAGCTGCTGCTGCTGAAAGAGAAAGAACAGATGGTCCTGGGTGTGGCAGAGCCAGCCACAGTCATGCCCAGCACCCTCCCCTCCCGCACTGACTGCGATGCAAAGCGCAACAGGATGAGACGCCAGCAAAGACAAGGAGGTGAGCAGAGCTGTTGAGGCTGCACAGTCTGGGTGCCATCACTGCTTCTTCCACCCATGGAACCTCGAGTGCCTCCCTGCCACGAATGTGATCCCAATACATGGCAGAGCCCAAGCCATGGCTCTGCCCCGGGCAGCAGGGGCCAAGGGGATCCCAGAGGCCATCCACTGCTTTAAGGACACAGTGGCAAACCCCCTCGCTGCAATGGACTTACTAAAGTGGCAAAACCCCTGACTTCTCCCATCTCTGTGCTGCAGGGTCCAAACCCCTGGGGCAGGGAAGAGCCTTGGCCCACAGCTGGGCAGTGTGACTCACTCCAACGATGCTGTTGAGCTCTCCCATGGTCACCTGCTTGGCCCGCTCCACCGCCTGCAGGACCTGCTGCTGGTGCTGGAAAGGAAGAGCATGGAGGCAGTCACACTGTGCTCCCGGCCCAAGGGAGCAGCAGCCCCGTGTTGCCCCAGCCACCTGGGACTGCACAGTCCCTTCTCCCATCCCTCCAGCCCAGGTATGGAGATTTTCCTCCCCAAAACCTCCTGTTTTTCAGGCTGGACTTTGACTCCCCCCTTCCCAAGGGCTTCCCTCAAGACAAGCCAGAGCAGTCCGATGCACATCCCCTGCCTCCTCACCTCCTGTGTCAGAAAGGGGATAATCTGGGCACAGATGGCACTCAGTCTCTTGACAATCTCTGCCTGAAAGAGGAAGCAGGTATCGCCTGGGATAGAGGGCTCTGAGCCCTACCCCATCCCCTCCAGCAGAGGGGAGGGCAGCAAAGCATCCTGCAGACATGCAGGCAAAGTTAAACTCTCCCCACCCAAACCCTCTCAGTGGAAATTCTCCTGCTGCCTCTACATCCCTTCTGGGTCTTCCTGCTGCCGAGAGAAGACTCTGCCCAAAGCTGCTGGACCCCTCCAGGCTGCCAGGTCCCAGAGGCACATGGGAGGGATCCCGACACCCAAATCCCTCTGTGGACCCAGGCCAAGGCAAGCTCCAAGCTGTCACTCCTGTCACAGCCCAGCTGGCTTTGCTCAGCCCAAACCCAGGTTGGCTTGGGGGCTGCCACTGGCACAGGCAGGGACGGGGCAGAGCTGAGCCGCAGACGCTGGCAGTGGGCCACCCACACACTGCGCTGTCCCCGAGTGTCGGACTTAAAGCCAGGGCAGAGCAAGGGACACAGAACTCCCACAGATTCAGCCCTCTTGGCAGCGTGCCTGCAAACCCTGCAAGGAACTGATGGCAGTACCTGCCCTGCCCAGAGCAGGGACCCCGCTGCCATCCCCATCAAGTCCTGGGCCAGCCGGCAGCTCTCCCTGCTCCTTCCAAAGGGGGAGCAGAGGCACAGAACACCTCGGACCTGCCCCTGCCCAGCAGCGGCAACAAGGGAATGCAGAGAACCTGGTGTATCCTCTGAGGAGAGCCTGTGGTAACAGACAGACCCACAGCCCAGCCACGGCCCCACCAGGGTAAGCAGCACTTCTGAGCAAAGGGGCTGTGGCTTCCAGCCCAGCCTCTCCAAGAGAAAACCCATGTCTCCTGGGGAAAACTCGATTCCCTCACTGCAAATCTACCCTGGCACTGGTGGAGGGACTGGCTGCTCTGGACCATTTTTTCATCTCAGATTTCTGATAATCCCCGACAGTGTTGCAGAGGTCAAACCACGCTCAGAGCCAACAAAGGGAACATTTACCTGCTGCACCCTGGGAGCACCCTCGCACCCATCAGCGCCCTGCTCACCTGCAGGTCCCAGCTGCTGTCTCAGCCACTGCCACAATGCCCACTCAGGACCCTGGGAGTCAAAGACGCCTCCCCTCCGGACCTCTCCTGCCCAGGTAGAGCCAGGAGCTGGACCCAGGTGGGTCAGGGCTCCTGCTTCTCAGCCGCTTGGCCCTCACTTCTATTGCCTTGTGGGCAGAGCCACTGGCCCCATGTGGCACGGGCCACCCCGGGTCCCAGTCCCATCCGTGGGTCCCAGTCCCACCAGATCTTGAAGCATGTGGGGATGGCAGGAATATGCTCATGGTCTCTACCATACTCCCTGCTACCAAAAGGAGCAAACTCAAGAGGGGCTGAGCCAGCTGGAGGAATATGGCAGTTGACTTGTCACTTTGTCAGGCATTGGTCCAAACTAATTTCCCTGGCAGAGAGCCCATGATGACTAGATTGATAAATCTGAAGAGGGAAAACAAATTAACACTGGAACAAAAGGGGAACCAAGGAAGGGTAAAAACACTCCTCTGACTTAGAGGAGATTAGGAAAAAAAGAAAAGAAAGACAATCCATTTGCCCTTGGGCTCCAGCTTCTGCTGTTTCTTCCACATCCCTCCCTCAACTCAGGCCCCAGGGACCCTCTGCAGGAAGGCACCAGGGCTCACACAGAGGCTCTGAGTGGTGATTTGGATTGGTAGGTCCCTGTCCCAAGGAACTCAACAGCACATCTCCCGACAACATCTGGACTCCTTTGAAGCCAGTCCCTTGCAGAGAGCCGTGTCATGTCTCCCATGCCATTACGGCTACATGGGGATGAGGAAGGGAATTTTCCAATGAAGTCTCCAACCTTGGCCTCTTCCCCACCATCTCCTGCTGCTGACACAGACCCCACTCACTTACCTGCTTGTGCATTTCGATGTTCAGGCCATAGGACATCTCATAGTACTGAGGGAAAACCACAACACAGCCTGATTAGGAGCTGCCCAGAGCAACTGGACGATGATCAGCCAGGGCTTTGGCTGCCAGTCCTGCTCCCCCTGGCTGAGCTCCCCTTTTGGTGCTCCTTCCAGTCCATGAGGAATGGCTGTCCCACACACCACAGGCCAAGATCCCATGCCACGAGCCTGGGATAAGGTAGGGAGCAGCCACAGACTGCTAACACCTGTGATGATTGCTCTGCAATTTCTGCACTAAATTAAGCCAGAGGAAGCCAATACCTCTGCCCTCCACATCCCGTCCTGGTTTGGCCTGGCCTGTCCCACTCCTAAGTCAGACTCACACCCTGATGCAGCTGCCCACCCACCCATGTGGGTGTCATGCTCTGCAGAGCAAAGATGACAGCGGGTTACGCCCTTCACCAGTCACCAATGACTCTGCCAGTGGTGCCGGCAGCCGACCCCATCCCCTCACACCTGGGGAGAAAAAAAAGAACCAGAGGACCTGCATTCCTCCAGCAAAGCCTATTCCAAAGGAAGTACTCCACCTCTGGGAATCCCTAAGCCTCCAGGATGTGGGGAGGGATCCCAGCTGATGGATGAGAAGAACATGCCCTGTGATGTCGACACCCCTGGCCTCAAGGACAGGGCTGTCTTCACCCCAGGGGTGGGGGTTCCCCGAGTTCACATCTTTTTGCCTCTTGGATGGCATAATTTGGGTTCCTCCTTTCCCTAGAGGGGCCAAGAGTGTCAGATGCTAAAGGAGAGGGAATGCTGCTCCTGTTCTGCTGTCCCCATTTTCTTTCCTTCATCCCAGCAGCTCCCCTGTTCCTGCCAGGCTCTGGCTGGCAACTGTGGAGGCTCCTGCTCCTTCCCCTTTCACCTAAAACACCAGTCTTAGGATATGAGTTCTGAAACACCCACCCCTTGGGAGAGAGACAGGGAGGAGTGGGGAGCTCTCTTAAAAGGTCAATTAGAAAAAGGGAGGAAAAAAGAAAATAAAAGAAACAAAACCTATAACAGGATTCCTGGGCTCTAGCAGCACGGAATATGCAGATAGCAGCAGAAGAGCTGGTGTTGTGAGGAATAGTGACTAATTCCTTCCTCCCTCACACCTCTCAGCCCTGGCCCCAAGGGCAGCACCGGGCCGGACACCCCCAGCAGGGCATTGACCCCTCTGGGTGAGCGGCCGAGTGGAGTCCCAGCACTGGGACCTCTCTGGGGGCAGCAGTCCAGGATGCTTTGAGGGAAGGCAGCAGGGACAGGGTAGGGGGAGCTCACCATGACATAATGTCTCTGCATCTCTGTCTTCTCACTCATCAGCTTCTCACATTCCAACTTCAAACTGTAAACGGGATCCAGGGTTTCCATTCACGGACCAGCATCACCTGCTCCATCCCTCCAGACCCCCATCCCTGTGATCTCAGGAAGCTCGGCACAACTCCTGCCTCCCCCTGCAGTCTCGCAGGGCTGCAGGGGTGTCACACGCCCTTCCCTAAGTGGTGTTGCTCTCCCCGGGGCACCTGCAGCCCACTGCTGTGCTGCTCCCACACTTGCGGCACCCACCTCGTCCTCTGTCCCCGCGGCACTTGCCGTCCCCTCCACGTCCCCCTACACTCTGCTCAGCCTGAGGAAACGAACTACGGCTGATCTTCCCCGAGGGACCCCCACTCAAGACCTGGCGCCCTAACCGACGGTTTCACGCTACCACTCAGCCTAGGCTCCTCTCCCCCTCCTCCCCAGGCGCTCCCATCACCAAGCGCCCTTTCTCCACCTCCTCCTTCCCCACTTCGCCCCCTGCTCGAGGACGCAGCCTCCCCTGTCCCCACCCCCCAGTCCAGTCACATCCTCTGCCCGCAGCTCAGCCCGACCCCCGGCCGCCGCCACCCCGCGCCCCCCGCCCCACCTGTGGTACTGCGCCTGCAGGAACTGAAATTCCTCCTTGATGCGGTCGCAGATTTCCAGGACCGAGAACTTAAAGGGCTGCTCGGGCTGGAGCAGGGGCTGGGGAGAGACGGCCCGGCTGGAAGCTGCGGCTCCGCGCGCAGCCCCCGCCCGGCCCGGTCCCGCCGCCCCCGCGGCACTTACCGGGTGCCGTCCATGCGGGAACATCCTGAGCCCCCGGGTCCCCGCCCCGGCCCCCTCACTCCCCGGGCCCTGCTGCCCGCCCGTCTCCCAGCCCCTGCCAGGGGTCTCCCCCCGCCGGGCCACGGGGGTCCCTCTCCTGGGCACCGGCAAGGCGACCGTGCCGCGGAGCTCGCGCGGGTCCGGGGGTCGGCGGGGCCCCGAGCGGCTCCACCGGGGCGCGAGGGGCGGTCGCGGGATCTCGCTCGCCCCCGGCGGCGCGGGGGTGGCCGCCCGGGCCCCCTTAAGGAGGCGCGTTCCCGCGGGGCTCGGGATAGCGGGAGGTAGCGGAGCAGCACTGGAGCTCTCGCCGCGCCGGCTTCGCGCCCGCACACCGATACCCGAGACCAAGGGGAACCCGGGAAAGGAGCAAGCCCCGGAGGCGCTGCTCGGGGCCCGAGCGGAACAACTCGAGAGGCGTCCGCCGTCACCGCCGGACCGGCCCGCGGGGCCCCGCTCGCCTCACCGGGCCCTTCCCCGCCTCGGGCCCCGCCACGCGCGTGGCTCCCCGCCCGGTCCCGGCCCGGAACTTCCCTCGCCCTCTTTCCCGGGGCATCCCGGTTCCCCGGGAGCGACGCCGGTCACTGTCATCTCCCCCTACGCTACGGGTGGACACGGCACCGGCCGCCGGCGGGGCAGCGCGCGGGAACGGACATCACAAACGAGCACAGCCCGACAGCGTCCGCCGGGCCAGGGACTGCAGGGGCAGCGGGCCCCGGGGCGCAGCGCCACCAGCTCAGCGCCGGGCGCGGGGCTGCCGGGGGTCTCTCGGGGCCAGCCCGCCGTCTGCTCGGGGCGGTCGTGCGGCCCCACCGGGGGGGGGACAGACCGGAGCATCCCCACCGTGTCCCGCCCCCTCCGCCCGCTCCACCTTAACCAGCCCCACGGCCCGCGGCGCCGGCGGCCGAGCCTGCCATTGGCTGCCGCTGCGGGAGCGCCAGCCAATCGCCCTGCCCTGTTCCCACATGGGCTCGTGACGGCACATCCCAGGATGGCCAATAAAACGTGAGCGCGCACTGGAGCCCCGGGGGACGAGCTGTGGGGCACGCTGGGAGTTGTAGTCCGCCATCGGCGGCTCCTGCGCGGCGGTAGCGCACGAGGCCCGCCCGGTCCGTCCCGCCGCCGCCGCGGGCCCGGGGGGGCCCGGCCCGGCGCTGCCGCAGGGCCCGGTCCAGCGTCACGGGCAGGCGGGGCTTCCGCCGCGGGCGGCCCGGGAGGGTGGACTGCGCGGCCCACGAGGCCTTGCGGCTGCCGCCAGCTGCCACTCAAAGTAACGTGGGGCGGTGGGGCTGCGGCTCGGGCGGGAGCGGAGCTGCCGCAGCCGCGGGGCTCGGCTGCCCTGGGGCTGCCCTGGCCCGGGGGGCGCGGGGAGGATGCTCCGCTCTGCCCCGCAGAGTCCCGGGAGCTTCCGGAGGGGAACTCGCCGAGGGTCCCTTCCCTGTCCCGCGGGACTCTCCAGCTGCAGCTGCTGTGCAGTCCTCGCACTCGAGGGCGGTAAAGGCGAGTGAAGAACCCTTAAATATTGCAGGACCCAGCTGTACCTGGGCACTGCACAGGCAAGCACAAGGTTAAATATTTAATGCTTCGAATTTCATCTTAATCTTTTATTCATTTTGTTATTTACTTGCTGCATGCTGGCGGCAGGGGCAGGGGCAAGGTGGTGGGCACAGGAGGCTCTCCCTCCTCTTGCCTCCATGTCATCCCCTGTTTCCCCTGCCAGGTTGGCCCCAGACTCTCAGCCCCAGCACTTGCCCGTTTACCTTCCCTGGCCACAGATGTTCACTGGGTAGGTCCGGTGACACAGGCAGGGATGGACACCAGCCCGGCACTAGCTCCAAAGCCCCCTAAAACCCTCCCACATACATGTCTCTGTGTGTGCATCATATATCTGCACATATGAATATACATATTTTAATTCAAATGTAAAGTTTTAGAGGTTTTTTTTGTTTGTTGCCTTATTGGGAGAGTTGTGGGGGTTTTATTTAAGGAAAGTGTTTTTCAAAAGCTGGAAACACTTCAGATTGTGTTTCAAGGGAAGGAGAGACTGAGAAGACGCTTTGCACATTTTTCAAAACTCCTCACCAAAAATTGCCAGTTTTCCCTAGGCAGTTTCTCTGCTCTTCCGTCTCGGAGAGTGACACAGGTAAACCTGGAACAGGCAGCTCTGGAGTGATGGATGTCACACATGTCTTGCTCGCCCTCCATTACTGATTGACATGGGCCCTGGAGCAGCACAGCCTGTAACCCAGAGATTAATTCGCTTCAGCTCCCAGTGCTTGGACTGGGGAGAAATCAACAGCAGTTAACCCTTGGCATCCCCAGGCCTCCAGGAGCAGCAGCAAGGGGAGCTGGTCCCGCTGCTCCCCCTGGCACAGGGACAAGGTGCAGGGCAGCAGACACGGCCCAGACCCACCACTGCTGAGGACGCTGAGCTGAGGCCCGGCCCCCTCCCGCAGCAGCCGCGCTCGTGCCTGGTAGCGGCAATGCCTGGAATAGCCCCAAAGGACGAAGGCGTTTGAAATCCAGGCCAGGATCAAGAGGCAAGTGGTGTAAACAGCCCTTCTGTTTATAACCAGCAGAGAAATCAAACCAACCTGGGCTTTGGACACCCAGGAGCTCCATTTGAATCTGGATCCAAGCAAAGCAGGTTGCTGCTGCTGGAATTACCCTAATGATTTTACCTTTCAGCTTCCTTCCCAAGCGCCAGCCTAGGGCAGGGGAACACACAGCCTCCTGTCCTTGACAGCAAGGGCTGCCCCAGCTCTCTCCCAACTCTGTGCTGTGGGTTGAGCCATTCCTCTCCCCAGGCGCAGCCTCCTGCTCCCACCACATCTCTAGAGTGGATGGTCAAGGGCAGAACCCATTGTGTTTCTCAGAGATGCTGAGGGTGGCCCGGGCTCCCCTGCAGCCACCCATCATTTCCAAACCATCCTGTTTTCAGCTCCTCACTTGGATACTTGAATGAGGAGCCTTGAATTCAGCAGGGACAAGTTCATGGAACCCTCAGACAACATGAATTTCCCAGGCCATGTATACCAGTATCTGGCACAAAGAGGGGCCTCATCCTGGCTGGAGTCTGTCCTAGAATGAAAATGAGATGAGAAGGGAAACTGAGGACAGGACCTGGCATCAAGGTGGTGGGAGCTAAGCCTAAGCTGTACTAGAAATCAAGGTTCTTCAGTGCCCTGATCCATGCTCCCAGGACCAGCCCGCAGGTACCCATCCCCGAGCCCCCAGTACTGGCATTCACTCTCCAAAGCCACATGTCCCCAGAGCCCCTGGGGACAGGCAGGAGCCCAGCTCCCTCCTACCATGCCCAGGCAGGGCCCCTCCCGTGCATCACTCTTCCCTGCAGTCCCTTGTGCCCCCCCTGGTGCCAGGGACACCTTGTCACCCTGGGGGCTGTGGACTGGGGGATGCCTGCAAAAGAGAAGTGGGAGCCCTCAGAGCAACCCAGCAGCTGACAGACTCTGATCTCTGGCACTGGCTTCGATCTGTATTTTGCACTTACCAGCTCTGAGTGGTTCTTAATTATTGATGCCTCTTTTAGCTTTTATCTGGTGCTCACTGCAGCCAGAAAGGGCTTGACGTTCCTGCATTAGTGATGAATTGGGAAGGAGGCCTTGCTCCACCACCATTCCTGGCTTGCAGGCTGTGCCACTGTTTCAAGCAAAGCTGTGCTGAAAAATGAGAAAGGCGAGAGCAGGAGTGGGATGTGGCAGAGGAGATTCTGATTCCTACTACTGCCACAGGCAACAGGGGGCTGGGGGATTCTGTCCTATGGGAAGGACCAGAAGGAGATGGACCCAAACAGGTGTGGAAGCCTCCTTCACCCAGTAAAAAACTGGCATCTGCTCATTTCATGGAGAAGGAAGGATGCCAGTTTATGACCCCTCCAGTGACAGGCGGGTGGAAGGGAGAAGATGGGTGACAGCAGAGTTTTGCCAAGCCCCTGGCAGCTGTGAGCAGGAACTGATGTCAAGCCTGGGCTAAATGCTGTGCAGCTGTTTGGTGGTCTCAGGGCATTGAGCACTGCTGGATGGCATCCTGCCCCTACTCTCACCAGCTCTCTGTCCACAACAGCAAAGCTCTATGGGCAGCAGGACAGTGGCTGTCACTGTCGCTCTCTATCTCCCTTTAATGAGCCAGGGCTTTGCTGAGTTTTTCCAAGGATCCTGGTGCCAGCAGGGCTGGTTCTCAGACTGTCGGCCTGTATCCCTCTCCCACTCGTGCATCATGACCTCTCGAACACAAAGAGAAAGGGTTTCTCTGCCAAGAGTGAGAATCAAACCATCTCTGAGCAGTTTTGGAGGTCCTATGTCAGCTGCACCCCTGCAAGCACTGAGCTGTTCTGCAGGGCAGGAGAGGAGCTTCTGGCTCCAGAGGGGTTACAAGGCAGAGCAGCCTGTTTGGAAGGAGAGAAGCTGTTTCCTCAAGTCTGCAGCTACTGGGAGAGTCATGAGGGAGATATTTGTAACCCTTTTTTTTTGCTGTTGGTATTTGTTAGATTTCCAGATTTTGGTATGCAATTAGATTGGAGCCCAAATCTGGTAAGGTGCCCTATGAAATGATTTCCTGTGGAAATCCCGCTGGCAAATGAAGCAGTGGCTAACAGAGCCAGGCTGGAAGCATGGGGAGCCACAGCACTGCTCATCAGTGGGATGGGATATCAGGGTGCCTCCCACCACCCAGAGAAACACTTTGGGGAATGAAGCATTAAGAGAAGCAGGAGTGGAGCACAAGGTTCAGCTCAACATCTGCTGGGATGTGCAAGGGATTTGGAAGGCCCAAAAGTTCTGTCTTTATAAAGGGTTAGTCTCCCACAGGGAGCAAGAAGATACCCACAACCCAGTGTGGAGCAGCTCCCTGGCCTCAGCAGCCTCGTGGTTTGTCCAACCCCCTTGCCAACGGAATTGAGGCCCCTAATTAGCTCTAACAAGAGGGATGTCTGTTCCTGAAAATGGCCCAGACCAATTTCTCCTAAATCCTCCTCTCTTGCATATCTATCAGGAGTAACATCCACTTATGGTGCTCCCTACCCCCAGGCTGAATTTGAACCACTGACCTCGAGGTGAAAGCACTGGAAAAGCTCCAGCCTCCTGCAGCCACAGCTCCTGGCAGATTTTGCAGCACTGATAGAGCAGAGATGGTTTTAGGAACTGTCCATTGCAGCAGCCCCAGCCCAAAGCCTGAAGCTGTGTTGGCCTTTCACATCAGAAACCTGCTTGCTCGGTGTCAGCGAGGCCCTCAGATGAGCTGCAGGACCACAGGGTCAGACTGTACTGACTGGCAGCGTTCCAGCAACTCCCAAGCAGGGCAGGTTGGAGTGGTCTGCCTGGTGCTGCAGCCCCACAAGTGCAGTGGGGTCAGACCAGCGCCTGCCACACAGCACCAGCTCTGTTATTCACAGAGAGGGGATCTGAGCTCTGGATCTGCCCCAGGGCAGCACCAGGAGCATTGAGTGCCCAGTTTGGCAGGGGACAGGGCTGAGACCCCCCCCCCGCAAGAGCCTGAGCCAGCAGCTAGAGTTCAGTGACCACCTCCAGAGCTGTGCTCCTTCACAGACCCCTGTCCCTTGCAAGCCCATGCTGGGCACCCTGCCTCAGCCATCCCCAGCTTGGATTAGGCTGATCAGGCATCACAGCCAGATAACAGCCACATTGTCAAGCCCTAGTGCTGCCCACAGGCTCTGTAACCCACCAGCCCCTCTATACCTCAGCCGGGTGAACAAAGACCCCACAGCTTCCTTCCCAGGGGAAGGAAATTTTCCCACTCCAGCTGGCCTGAGAGATACCAAGGGGAAGATGTTATCAGAGTGGAACAGGCTCTGGAGCCAGAGGACAGCTCTAATTATCAAGAGCCAATTCCATGACAGCAATCTCAGCCCCAAGGCATTGCAGGCCAGATTTTCCAGAGGGGCCAAGTGCCACAGAAGCAGCTTATCCTCTGTGCCCACAGGAAAAATGAATTATGCACACACAGAGCAGAGTTGTGGCAGCCTACAGGGACCATCACATATGTTACCAAACCATGCTGCTCCTGCTCCAAGTACAGAGCTGTTAGACTTTCAGGGAGTTTTGCCCTGGACTTCCCTGCTTTTCTTCCGGAGAGCCCCCAGTCCCTTTCACCAACCCCTGCTTTCACCCTGCACTCCAGTTTGTTCTGGCCTTCCCTGGGCATCCTCCTTGCCCCGGCTCCAGCAGACTCCAGCTATGGCACAACTCCGCAGGGGTGCCTGCTGGGGAGGGATGGTGTCCCAGGGCAGGATGCAGGCTACAAAGACGGTCCCATTCCACCAGCCCCTTACAAGACAAGAGTGGGAAAGAAGCCAGAGCTAGGGGTTAACCCTGCTCCTCCTGGCTGAGAGCAGTGCATCCAACAAGCGAGGCAGGGAATAGTCTGGGATACGCTACCATCTGGAGGAGAGGGGCTGCTCCTCCCAGACACCTCCCACAACACACATGGAAACCAAAGCAGAGTCCAAGGTGAACCAGCAAAACTAACTGTTCTCCCCAACTGATTTCCCTATCTGGAGGAACAGGAGAAGGAGGGAAGTAAAGTCCTACCAAAGGCAGCAAGAAAGTGGCAGCAAGTCACAGTTTTAACCAACCTTCTTATTTCTTTATTTGAAAGGCACAGCTTGTACGTCCTTGATACAGCATTTTCAGTTCCTCTTATTATAGGTCAAGTGATTAAACACAAAAAGCAAAACAAGATCTTTCTAAAGGACTATATACAAACACCAGATTATTTTTTTTCCATTTTTGTTTTTTAAGAAGACACGCTAGCGCACGGATAAGAACAGAGAAAGCTGCTGTATCCTCTACACAGGGCAGGGGCACAGGGAGGGGGAGGCCAGGGAAGGCTCTCGGTCTGCCTGCCCCTCTGCCCAGCTGCCTGGGCTCCAAAACTGAGTGCTGTGCTGAGGGGGAGCAGGTGGCACAGGCTCCCCCTCCAGCCCAGGGCCAAACCCTGGCAGCCAGAGATGGTTAAGAACAGGTACATGCAGAACAGCAAGGCGCCAGCCTGGTATTAGTGCAGGAGGGGTGTGGGGGAGACAGGGCCAGGGCGATGCAACGAGACCAAGAGCACCTGGGGAGGGAGGAGATTGTTCTGGGCCAGGGATCCCAGCAGGGAGTTGTGCAGAACTTTTAGGATCAAGGGGCAATCTTTAAATACCGAGGGGGGAGCAGCGGGCAGAGGGGAGCCACATGGCACCGAGGAGCTGGGACAGCCAGGGGGGCAAGTGGCCCCAGAGCAGCCCAAGCCAGGCTCTGGCTTGGCTCTATGACAGGGTGGGAGGAGGGACAGGGAAGCCAGGCTGGGCACAGGGAGAGCATGATCGGCCACATGGTTACTGCTATGGCGCTTGCATTGCTGTGCAGCAGCCTGCCCGTGGGGATGGCGGTGGGGGCATCGGCCAGGCCCTGCTGCCCATGGGAACAGGCCTGGCAAGCTGCCACCAAACACAAGTCTCCGCAATTCTGCTGCACAGCAACTAGAGAGAGATACTGCATCTTGCATTAACCCACCCCCTCTCCCCAGACGGCCCCCTCCCCCCAGCCCCTCTAATCCGATTTCTCCCCATCATCATCTTGGTGGGCATCCCCGTCATGGCCATTCTTGTCCTCCTTGGAGAGGTGAGCCTGAGAGCCCAGGGCCGAGAGTGAGAGGAGCCCAGTGCCGGCACTGACAGCAGGGAGGGATGGGGGCTGGAGGCCCACGGGGAGTGGAGTCAGAGGCAGAGCAAGGGCTTGGAGCTGCGACAGCTGGTGAGCTTGAAGCTGCTGCTGTAGAGAATGATGGACAGACAGAAAGACAGAACAGGGATATTGTCATTTTGAGTGCACTTGGACCCCAACCTAAGGTCCTGGAATGCCCAAACACACCGTGCCAGAAATCAAGCTTAAACCAGAGACCTCAGGGTCCTGGAGAGTATCGCAGCCTCAGGGCAGGTGGGAAAAGAGATTCTAGAGTCCTGGGGCTGTGACACCCTCAAGAGAAGACTCAACAGTGTGTCCCCAGCACAACACACAGCCCCTACGCCACAGGACATCTGGCATCAGACTCTAGCTTGTTCCAAGGATGCAGTTAAAGCCTTCACAACCTTGACCAAGAGCAGATGGTGTTTTCACGCCAAGGAGCTGCTTCGGTTCCTGCTCAAAACCAAAGCTCCTCTCCTTGCACCCTGCTGAGACAGAGGAGAGATCCCTGCTCCCCTGCAAACCCATGGCCTCGGTCACAGCAAGCCTGGATGGAACCAGCCCTGTTCCAGCACAGCCAGCCCAGCACCTGCAGCCTTGTCCTGCTGCAGCTGCAGCACTGTGCACAGCACAGCCTGCTCCCAGCAGGCCAGATACATCCCCAGGTCACCACTCCATGGCCCAGCTCCGTCTCAAAGGTCAAAGATACCAACTCCCATCCCTCTGAACCCAAACTAAACATGCATCACGTACACGGATGATGGAGTTCAGTTCTGGTGCCGTAACCTGCTTAGCTCGTTCAATGGCTCCCAGGACTTGCTGCTGATGCTGGTGTGGAGAAAACAGAGGAATTCAGGGTCATTTCCAGTGCCACTGGAAAGCAGAACAGGGGTCTCACACACATGTACGTGCTGCTCACACTGAGGTGTCATGTCAGGACAGGCTGGTTACCCCCACAGCTGGAGACACCTGCACATACTTCACCCATGACAAGGGCCTCACACTGAGGCCCATGGCAGCAAGGAGCAGGGAAAGAACCACATTTGTCTCATCCATTTCCTCACCACAGGGTTAAGCAGGTCCCCTTCTACTCCCACCCTCGTCCTGCTCTGCAGAGGCCCAGCAATCCTTGGCCAGAAGGGCTCCAAGGTGGGCAACATCTCTCATCCTGCCGCCCTTCACCTACACAGACCCTCTAACAAACAAAACGAGTCATAAAAGCAGAAGCGCTTGGGAAGCTCCCTAGTCCTTGGGACACATCCCATATCCCAACTGCAGCAACTGGGTGCTCCAAACACAGGCAGGAAAAATGGCTGTATCATGTACTTAAAAATTATAAAGGACAACTGTACTTTCTCATTGGAGAGCACAAGGTCTCAGCACCAGGCCTGTCCACTGCACTCTAGCAAGGGGATTTTTCTTTCCATTTTGGCAGCAGGACAGGGTAGGGATTGCATTAAGATGCAAAAG